TGTTTATGGTCAATGCGTAGGTGGTGCGTGGAGGTTACATTGCATACTTTCGGCGGAGCCCTCTTTATCCTTTTGAGTCCTTTTTATTTTTATTTAAAAAAATCATTTTCTTCAATTTCCTTTTAAATAGCCATTTTGATCATTTTTTCTTTATTTCTTTGTGGCAATCCCTCTTCCTACGATTCCCACGGCCCAGAAAGGGCCGGAGCAAAAAGTGAGGTTAAATGGTTTGACACCCACGAGTTCCCTTCAAGAAATTGAAGAGAATAAGTTTGAAAGGATTATTGGAAAAGAAATTGAAGAAAGTGAGGTTTTTAAAAATAAAAGGACTCAGAGGGTAATGTGAGCTCCACCAAAAGTATGCTAAAATATTCCCAAGCACACCACCTCAGCAATACCCATAAATTGTAGGAATCTCAAGGTTTTAAAAGAAAATATACAAAGTTTTTTTAAAGGAGACATAAATAACAATAAAAACAATGGAAATTGATAAATTAAAAGAAAATAAAGGAAAGAGAGTACCTAGAGTCTTCGATGTTGAATTAGAACAATGCACTGCCACTGATCTTTGATCCTTTGATACCAGTGGGGAGATCCCCAAGATGAAGGTATTTATATTGAATTGAAAGCTTGATCAGAGGCATTGGGGGTGTCATTGGGCAGATCTAGTCTTGACTTGGATAGGTCCATGGTTAAATTGAGTCGATCTAATGATGTAGCAATCCTTTGCCTAGTCAAGAAAGTTCCCATGAGTGTCCTTTGACAACCCCCCTTATGATGGTCCCCATCCCAACGTCGCAACAAAATCCAGGATGAGAAGGCCGAGTTCGTGGAGGAAGTTATTTTTAGTTTATAGTTGTTTTTGCAGTTTTCTAGTTATTTATAGTGCTTAATTAAAGTTAGGGGCAGTTTAGGGATCTTTATGTTTTATTTTAAGTGAAGAGCTTTATGGGGTATGTTTATAATGTTTTAACTTAAGTGGGGGTAGATTTGGTTTTTTTTATCATAATGTACTACAAGAACTTGGGTTGTTAGGGTTTCTAACACTTTTTGAGGCATGAACAGTAAAAATAGATTGTGAATAGTGTCAAGAAGCTCTATCTAAGGTTTTGGGGTCATTTTTTTATTCTCTGGCACATCCTTGTAATCAAAGACCCTCTCCATGGTATTTAACTAGTCTTAAAGTCGTCGAGCTGTGACTTTCTTTCAAAATCAGGAATATCTATTTCTAGATATATGGATTTTGAGTGCCGCCCATACTTCCAATTGTATTCCTCTTCACCCCCCTCATCTTGCAGAGCACGATAGTGAAAAGGGTTGTACTCAACATCATCTTGGATGGACAAAACTCATCTCGCCCACGATCGAATGCCTGCAAGCTGCCTTGTAAGTTCTTGAAATTGTTGTCTCAACTGCTCTTATCTTTTGATCTTGCTCATCACGAGGTGGATCCATATGAATACTCTTGCCTCGAGCTTTTCTTGCTGCCATAGGTTCACTGAATTCACAAACCTTGGACAGAGGACCAACAAAACCTAACTGAAACCAACAAGTTCTAGGTTGATTTGGTGAACTTGGCCTAAAATCAGTAAACTCTGGACTTGTAGATTCCTAGCTTTGTTGTTGAAAAAACCCTAGGCTCTGTTTCCAATTTGATGCAGGGAAATAGAGAAAAGAGGTAAAAAACAGTTCAATAGCTATTTATACAAGCTAGATTTAAGTGAATCTGGCTTTCCTTGCACAAAAACTTTTCTCCAAAACCCTAGATAGGGCTTGTTGAAACTATTCACAATCTGTTTTTACTGTTTACTTCCCAAAAGTGTTGGAAACCATGACATCTCTAATCATTTTATTGCATTAAGATAAAAAGAAAGATCAAAACTACCCCTACTTAAGTTAACACATTATAAAAATACCTCATAAGTCCCTTAATTAAAAATAAAACAAAAAAGATCCCTAAAGTTCTAACTTTAATTAAAATGCTAGAAAAACTAAAAATTGCAAAAACAACAATAAACAAAAAATAAATTCCTTCAAAAAGTCAGCCTTCTCCTCTTGGATCTCCTTGCAATCTTGTGATGTGGATCTGCATAAAAGGGGTCGTCAAAGGATGGATTAATTAGGTCAAAAGGCTCATGGGAACTTTCTTGAGTAGTTAAAGGACTACCAGGTGCATCAGATCTAGACTAAGGTATGGTAGATCTTAGTTTTAATGGTGAAACGGAGCTAGACTTGGGCTAGGAGGGCTCAAATTTGATTGGATTCAACTTTAAACTGTCAGATTTGACTAGGTCTAGGCTGAAGGACTGTGAAAGCTTGTAACTGAGGTTTAGGGTAAGGAAAATTGAGTCTAGGTTTGAATTTAGGGTTTCTGGCCCTAAATCTAAGGCTAGGATGGAAGGGTATGGGGTCAAGGTTATCTTGATCCTGAAATTCTATGGGAATTTGAGGGTATTTTGGGAAATGTGACCTCAAAATGATACTAATAGGGTTTTCCTAGGATCTAGCATTTTTCTTAGATATTCTCTCTCTAAAACTCACTTTTCTAAGCTGAACTTAACTATGACTAGTTGGGGGTCCAAGATGGAAGGTATAAGAAGGAAGGAGGGTGGGACCTAGGGTTTTGATCAACGGCTGAGGTTTTTAGCTGATTTTTGGGGTTAAAAACCCATTTTAGGACCTTCCACACATTTCTCATGGCATGTAGCGCAAGCTAGGGTGCAAAAGTTAAAAGTTGTGCCACGGTGGTCCGTACAACATATTCCTGCTCCAGCATGCCTAAGTAATTTGGCCATAACCTCCAAACAGTATACTGGATTGAGGTGAAACTTGGACCATTGGAAGGATCTATCAATTCTCTATAACATGATCTAGTTTTGGGATAAAAAATATTGGTTACCTTGATGAAAACTCTAGGGAAGTTTTGGGTATGTGTAGGGGAGCGCTTTGGTGGTCATATAGTTCATAGGAAATCTTCTATGGGTGTGTATCTGAGGATACTTGACAAGAATCCTCCAAAATAAAAAATGAGTTGAAGTTAAAGTGTCTACAGTGAGTGGAAGTGTGGTCGTGTGGCATTGTGTGTAATCCTAGACTCCCATTGTTTTGGGGGCCTGAGCACATCGCCCAGGCCTAGGCGCCCAAAAAAAGCGAATATCCCTGGGCGCTCGGGAACCCGCCTAGGCGGCCGCCCAGGGGCGGAAATGCCCTTCGTTGAGGGTATTTTTGGGTCATTGTTTTAATATTAAAGGTGCAAAATTGTGGGTTTTTTGTTGATTTGAAATCCAAAACCGATTAGAACCTATTTTAGAGAGAGAAAAACTCCAAAAATAAAAAAAAATCTACTGGGCCGCCTAGGTTTTGAGCGCCCGCCTAGGCGCTGGGCAGCTTGGACCTCCCGACCACCTAAGTGCCACCTAGCGCTTTTTGAAACACTGCGAGTGACCGAGTGCCAAACGGTTAGAGGCGAGGGTCTTCAGTAGTAAATTGGTTTCTAAGATCAATTTGGGGGTATGGTTTCCAACCCAACCCCCTGAACACCATTCATGGGGCCTAGAACCATCCTGGACGGGCTGCCTAGGGAACTAGGTACCCGCCCAGCCGCCTAGGTGGCCTGTACCCCTGGCCTCCTATGCTGATGAATCCATGTTTGACAACACTGCCCTCTGCATGTACTTGTAGTATGCGGGAACAGGCTGCCTAGGCTGATGAATCTATGTTTGACAACACTGCCCGCGACATGTACTTGTACTATGCTTAAGTAACTACTTCAGATTTAAGCATGTTGGCTATCGTTAGGCAATTATGACCATCCATTTTGGTTGATTTAGTAAGTACCTTAGATTTGTCTCACACTACACTCCTCACAAATTTTGTTATTTAATAATGTGCCTCTGACTATTGTTCTCCCCTTAACAATGGATCTCCTCTCACAGTAGTATCATAATAGATAAAGTTTGTTGCATGTATAGGATTAAGATGAATTCTATTCCTTTTGGATTTTGTTTACTTTATAGCACTTTCTCTATTTTTCTTGAATATTGATTTTTTAGATAGTTTTATAAAGTTATGTAAGGGATTTAAAATATGGCTTTCTCACCAATTCCATTTGTAAGTAATCTTCAAGAGACGTAAATATGAAATACTCTGAATTGATGTCCACATGGTGCTTCCATGTGCACCCCTCAGGCTATATGGACTACTATGAAATATGCTAGGGGTACAAAAGACTAGAATATCCCTGCACAAATATTTATTACACCTAATATACAGACTTGCACGCACACATCAATGGGTTTGTCTCCTAACCCTTTTAACCCCTTAAAAGGGAAAAGGGACCTAAATCCCTGTCTATTTATGCCGTCAGATCAGGGTCTGGGTTGTTCATATGGCCCAGCTACTAGACTTCTGCCTGGCCACAGTGGGGCTGACTTTGGCCTGCCTTTCTCTAGGCAGCCTACTCCTCTTTTTATGCACTTGTGACAAATTATGTCTATTATGTCCACAATAGATGGTAATGAAATAGCAGTTATGAAATGATTCATTGTGTCCAAGGTCTATCATGAATTCTGTATAATTATTCTATGCTAAATGTGATTATAAATATAAGAGAAATTGCAAAGATCCACACCTATGTTGCCATCCCTTGAAATCGTTCGTCTTTAATTCATGATAAACGGGTTTTATTTGATTGCTTAAACCTTGTGGACTACCAGGTTGTTTGGTTTTTGGGTCATGATTGCATGTTCTTTTTTCTTCTTCATGGATGCTTACTTGGTTTAAGAATTCTGCAAAGCTCATATGCAACAATGTAGTGTGATATCTAAGTAGTTCATGCCAATTATCCTTGTTTGGAATGTGACACTCGTCGACTTTAAGGAGTATGTCATGGTCTAGATCTCAGCATTCTTTGTATAGTTGTTTTAATGCTTATTAAAGACCAAATTTGTACATCACTAGGACATGATTTCCAAATGAGTTTCTTGAAATGACTGCCTTAGGAAGATGATGGCCACGAAGAAGACTCAGATGATGAGGAGGTCCCAGAGATAACTCAGTGGGAGACCATGTGCTGGCTTGCAATTTTGACGTTGTGGATTTCTGTCCTGTCCGGATACCTAGTGGATGCCATTCAGGTATTGGTTGATATGGTCTTTAATCCTTGTTTTGAGTCAAGATTTGATGTTTTCTTTTCCAGACTAGTGCTCATTGAAGGTTTTCTCATTTGGAATCTGGAGTGGGTGTGTTTTTTTTTTTTCTTCTTTTTTAATGAAAGTATTCCCACTATATTTAGTGAAGTATGAGATCTACAAAATCCTCACGAGAAGTGAGCCTCAGGCAACCCACATCCTGGTTGCGCTGTACAAAAAAGAGTATAAGGCTAATAATAAAAGCATCCAAAAAGGTTCCACAACCCACAAGTTGGGTGCTCAAAACCTAAACAGATTAAAAAGCAAGTATGCGGCAAGCCATAAACCAGGTGCTGTGCACACAGAGGGTGGCATCCTACAAATCAGGTGCTCCCATAATACCCAAAAAATGGTCGGCAACCAGTAACTGATGGAGAGAAGGAGAGGTAGATGAAGAACGAAAGATCGGGGGATGGAGAAAGAGACCAAATATGTTGAAGAAAAGAGGGGAAAGACAGCACTTGGGAAGATGGTAGAGAGGGATGCAAGAGGAAGACGAGATCAGAGTGTTGCTTTGGGGGAAAGAGAGGGAGAAGAGTAGTTGGAGGGGGAGAGAGAAAACAGTGGAGAGCATCACAGTGTGTTGTTTGTTTGTTTTCAGGCATTCCTCACAGCTCTCTCTTCATTCCATGTTTTTCCACACATTGGCTCAACACAAATTTGTTTTAGATTTTCTTAATTAACCATCAATTCAATCATTTAGTCTTTTTATCATTTTTTGGCATGCTCTTTGTGTGGCATTCTGTATTAATGTGGTGGTTATGGGATGTCTGATGTCAACTTACCAATTAGTAATGACTGTCACCATTAGCTTAATCTTCTAGAGTCTCCCAGTGCTTTTTTCTATTATTTTCATAATATCAGGTGCCTTTAGTCCAGTGTACACTCCTACTTGATTCTGGGTTCATTTGAGGGGGATGCAAGGTGGTAAAGCTGGTTAAGGCCCCACTTGTCAAATAAAAAAATCTGGTTATTAGCTGCCATACGAACCTTTAAAGTTATTGTGTCTTAAAGTGTCAGTAAGGACTTGAGACAAGAGGAAACCAAATGTTAGATAAAGGGGGTTTCAAGTTAGATCCCATGTGAAAAATTCCCAGAAAAAAAGCAAGGTTGCTACGAGGGCATTTTCCGAGACATGCTGAATAGGGTTAAGATATTTGTTGTGGGTTAAGATATTTGTTGTGGATTTAGCCTATTGTTTAGACAACTAAAATGGTGGTTTTATCTTCTTGTTTTTGGTGACAAACACGATAATCTTGAAGCCTACGTGTTTCTGACTAGCCAAGTGCTGTGGAGGCTATCTTATACAATAACACTAATATGTAGTCTCAGTTTCAAATAAAATTCATGATGTAATAACCTGGTGCTTCTTTCCTCCTATCTTATTATATCTAAGGAAAAAGGAAAACATAGTGCTCTGTAGTATGATTGAAAATTCATGATGTAATGTCTCGGTTCTTCTTTCCTCCTATCTTATTATATCCAAGGAAAAAGGAAAACATAGTACTCTGTAGTATGATTTGCAACTACAAATGTTTGTGTGATGAAACTTTTAACTTTTTAACACAAAGAACTTAGCTGTTATGAAAAACTGAACTTAGCTGTTATGAAAAACTATGCAAGCAAAATTGATTTTTCTTCAACCACTTGAACTCTTTTATTTCGTGAAGTCTCTCTCTCCCTTGGTTACGAACACATTACATGTTGAACATTAGATGTAATAACCTAGTATAAAGTTCATATTTTCTCAGGGTATGTAAGCGTTGGCAATCAGCTGGAAAGAAAGTTTTCACACGTATGATTTTTTCTATTATACTCCAAGTAGTAGTGTAAATTGTGTTGCCTCCTACTGGGCTATTGCATCTTCACAGAAGAATTATTCTGTGCACATGTATTTGTACAACCTCTTCTAAATGCTTCGATGATGATTTTCTTTAGATTTGCTCCAAATATTTCAATGCCCATCACCTTTTCTATTGTTAGTGTTCCACCCAGAGATAGGGAAGCATGTTCTCATTCCTATCTGATTACTGGATTTTCTTGCTGGTATATAAATGGCCGTTGATATTTGTTTTTTGCAAGTGACCAAGTTGGTGGGGCTGAATTTCATTTCAGGGAGCATCTGAATCATTAAATGTGCCAGTGGCTTTCATTAGTGTTATTCTACTTCCCATTGTGGGTAATGCAGCCGAGCATGCTAGTGCCATCATGTTTGCGATGAAAGACAAACTCGTGAGTGTGTCTAGCACAAGTGGCTACTTTTCCCCCCTCACTCTCTCTCTCTCTCTCTCTCTCTCTCTGGCCCCATATTGTACAAATTAGTAAATATCATTTATCAAAGGGAAAATATAGTATTTACTTCAACAAACTATGGAAAAAATATAGTTCCGTGAGGTCCATTCCCATTTGATGAAATGTTGGATGGGAATGGAGACAAAGGTGGATCCCAGAATTAGACATGATCCCATTGGTGAGCAGTGATAGCGGTGCTTACTAGGTATGCAAATTCAAAAGTTCTTCTCAAAAGTTTTTATTACTCATAACAATGTTATACCCACTTTACAAATGCTGCTATGTACTTCCATACATCAAAATTATAAGTTACACAGCATAAAAAAGAAACAGCAAGAAACACACCTAAAATCTTGCTGATGCCAGGATCATACAGTGCCTGCAGAAAAAAAAAAACAAAATCAAAACAAAGACAACAAGAAATCTGCTGCAAGAGTTGCCCAATGATTACCGCCTGGAACTTGGTACACCACACACTGGTTCTTCTTACTACGGCAGTGCACCAAGACTAAAATTCATATCAAAAAATCCAATTTATGTTCGTAGAAGATCTCAAAACTTTGTGGGATGTGACTCTTAGTGTTTCGATTTTGCTTCTAAGGTTTTCTCTAGGTTCATGTGCCCTCTAATGAATTTCACCTTCTAGGCAGGAGTTTGATTTTGCCTTCTTCTAGGCAGGAGTTTGATTTCACCTTCTAGGCAGGAGTTTGATTCTGAGAATGATGTCACACCAATACCCCTTATTGCTTTATCCAATCCTCCATTATTAAAATTGAAGTCCCACTTCGTCTATTCAAACTGGCATTTTACAGGTTTCCAAGATTCAATTGAAATCCAATCATTCTTGAATCTTTTCTATTCCTTTATTTTTATTTTTATTTTGAAAGTATTTTCGATTCCTTTAGTTAGTTAGACTGTTAGACTCCTCTGATTAGATATGAACTTTACTTGAAAATCTTGGAAAGGACATTTAGTCCCTGGACCTTCTTTATTTTCTTGAATTCTTTCCACAGGTAACTTCAACCAACATTGGAATTTTAAATACCGCGTGGAGGCCATTGAGCCTCATGCAGTCCTACCAGTTGATAATGGGTACTAAGTGTGGTCTGCATGTGTCCCTTACACACTAGAGTAGAAGAAAATCTAATGCAAGGCATGGAGAATACAACAAACCATGAACTTCTAAAACAGTCCTTGTTTAGCATAAAACACAATTCACATATTTCCCTTCCTATTTTAAGTATTAAAAATTCCATTTTTTTTTTTGAGCATTCAAGAATTCAAAATTCTCACCTGAATATGTAGAAAGAAATTCTTTTTGTTTTTTTAAGAAACAAATATGATGCTCTTACGATAAAACTCATAAAAATATTAGAATTCTTAAAGCGATAGGCATGCTGTGGGCTAACACGTCAACTTATATATAGGAACTTCATTTTGCTAGCCACTTTAACTACATATAACATCTTAAACTAATCCAACAGGATCACGACCTAAGTCTTTCTCGTAGGTGCTGAAAATGGGCCTCTAAGTGTTAGCTAATAAGTACCTGAGCTATAAAGTTGCTATGGATTCCCAAGTGCCCTCTCAAGCGCAAGCTATGCCTCCTTTAGACCTGTGCAAAACTCGGGAGTCTTCCCTCAGACCATTCAGATTCATTCCCCAAAATGTCGGTAATTGTGTGCACGCTGTGGGGTTATAGTGTTGAGGTTTTCGCCCTTGCCCTCACAAGCCTCAACCCTCATGCCGGGGTATCCTTTTCCCCTGGCTAAACGCTTGACTACCAGGCTAACTTCGACCTTGACTGGGGATACTAAACTTTTAAGGATCATGGTGTACAGGGCCTCTTGTCCCTCTGGACCCAAGGTCCTAGGTTTCTTGAGTCAATCATTCCTACGCTTATTCCGCCAAGCCTAGCGTGAGTCCAATGGCACTGATGCCATCCTGCATGTATGGCCTTTTTTATCTATGGAGCACCTTGGCCATACATGTACCACTTCAAACCCCTAGGGTGTTTTCTCTTTTATTAAACTACTACATTAGCTACCACATGCAACAATACAAGAGCTCAGGCCTTTGAAAGCCGCAGAACTCAAATTGGCAGGCATGACTCTTTCCACCATCCATTTTATCAGACAATCATGACCCTAACAGTCTATGGTTTTCCATGGTCCACTGTACGGTAGTGGTAATTGACTGTAGTATACATCACCCAAGATAGAATTTTACCATGAAAATCTATTCTCTCCTCTTTGAGTTGCTCATATTTGTAGTGGCTGTTATTGAATTATCTGCAGGATATCACATTGGGAGTTGCAATCGGATCATCTACTCAGATATCAATGTTTGTGGTATGATAATGATGACTGTATGTTGTTGGTATTTAAATTTTAGTCAAGCTCCGTTTTGGTTTACTGATCCTCTGCCTAATATGATCTATGGCAATGATGCTCAATTATTGCAGATTCCGTTCTGTGTGGTTGTTGGGTGGTGCATGGGAAAGCCAATGGACTTGAATTTTCAACTCTTTGAGACTGCTACACTCTTCATAACAGTACTTGTCGTAGCATTTATGTTGCAGGTTTGTTCACCAACATGGAATGGAGACCGTGTTAAAAGTTTTTCATGCAATTGAAATTTTGGTTATTTTACCCATTCAATACTCCAGTTGTGTTTTAAAGCCATGCTATTTGACCATTTCAGTTGGGTGGCTGATTTTGTTAAATTAAGTCCAAGATGATACTCTCTAGGAAGGTTGCGATTCAATTGGGTTGCCATTCTATTTTTCACTTTCTATTGTAAGCTGGGCATACTTCGATGGTACCCAATTATGTTGGTTGTTTTCTGGATTTCCAAGCTCTAAGTTACTTCATCTTCATAAGTCTCTTCTTCCCTAAGATTTTTTAAATTTTTTTATTTTTTGAAATTTTCTATGTAATTGGCTGTTGTAAAGTTATTGAACTTTTGCAGAAGACTTTTGAAGCTTGTAAATCACCCTCCAACCCCAATCCGTGTTATTTCGCTTATTTCTTTTGAAAATTCCTTGCTTTGATATTCAACAAATGGAGAAATTGCTGGGTTTCTTGTATGTTGTGTGTAATTCTATCATGGCTGGTTTCTTAAATTGCAGGAAGGCACTGCAAACTATTTTAAAGGGCTGATGCTCATACTATGCTATCTTATTGTTGCTGCCAGTTTCTTTGTCCATGTTGATCCAACCTCCAGTAAGTATTATTGACTTGATGGTAGATGTGGACTTGTGGCTTTTAATATCATATGTAGTTGAGTGTTTTGTTTTATTGCATCCAAATACCTCATGATTGATGGGGATCTCTCCTAATCAATGAATTACCCAAAAGGGCATACAAATGATATTTCATTCTTTTGTATTTGGTTAAGTTACTAAAGATTATGGTATCATCACAACAGCAGCAGTCACACTTGCTTTCGAAATAAGATACTTGGTTAGAGATTTATTTAAGGGAGCAGTTTTTGTCGGGCAGTGGCTTTAAGATATTTAGTAAAGCCGCACGAAACCCAACTTGGAAAATATAGTTCCAGCACTGGAAACCGTTGTGCTGCAAATCTGTTTCCGCCTAGGACTATAGAATTTGAAGTTCAAAGAAGGGTGTAGATCTGGTATATCTGTAAACACTTGAAATGTAGGGTCCAATAACCATGCAATAAGATCGACCATGTAGGGAAAGTATTCATTTCACTAATCATATCCATGATTGTTGAGGTTGTGATGATAAATTGGAACGTTTTATGGCGCCAGAACTGCATTTTTTGGCGAGATTTGAGGAGTGGCTTTATAAAGCCACGGCCCTAAAAAAAATTTAGTACTTTAGAATCCTTTATCACAGGTACTGGAGTACTCTCTCTCTCTCTCTCTCTCTCTCTCTATATATATATATATATATATATATTTCACGTGTGTGTATATTTTTCCAAATAAAATCCACAAATCTTGTGATATCATATTAGAGCAAATGTCATTCTGGAGTCCGGCTTTTATAGTCAAGTCTTAACGGAATTGGGATCTATTATTATCAATTTTCATATTCATTCGCAGATGACGATTAGGATGGTCTTGCATGGATCTTGAAGACCTGGTTCAGCTTATCTACACTTCAGGGTTGTGAGTTGCCAGTTTGGATTGCAATTTATGAGGCTTTGATTCCAAGAAGTTGTAGAAGATGCAAATCTTTGAGGACTCTGCATGTGCTTTTAATGGTCGGATGGAGTCCTTCGTTTCTTGAAATTTGAAGTTGGAAGACTCTTGATCAGTGAGAGAGATCTTGTTGTGTTGGGAAAGGCTTTTGCATCCGTTTTGTTTTTGGGGTGATTCGAAGAAAGAGCATGGTGTCTTTCTTTTGTTCCTTTTTCAAAGCCTGGGCCTGGGAATTGTTTTTGTTCAATCCTCTTATTAAGAAATATCTGTATCTCAAACCCTGTGTATTCTATTCTTGGAGGATTACTTGTGCAAGACATGGAATTGCTTTTTACTGGTTCTGACAAATAAGCGAGGGTACCATGCAATGTAACCTTGACAAGTTATATTTTCTTTTATTTGATGTCACTCTCAGATACATGAATATAAACTAAAGAATATATATTCAGATACTACTGATATCATATTGAAAATGAGTTGTTACCCATCATATTATTTTCTAAGCAATGCAAAGCCCTTTCAACACAATCTTTCATAAATTTTTATTGCATTTGTTATGTTTGTCAAGACCATTTCCGCTCTTATTGTGGTCTTCAATAAACCGGATTTGGGAGGCGATGTCAACTGAACGCCAAGGGCCTTGGCGAGAAAGAAAAGAGATAACTAACTGGCACCTTGTGAACTAGTCTTGTATACGTGGTAAATTGAACACTCAAAAAATCGATAAAGACAACTCAGTACGGCTTAGCTAGTCCGCTAGGTCGATTAAGGCTAGTTGAGCGAAGGAAGATAGGTACTCGACCAATAGGGAGAGGGAATAGGATGACATAGGGGTGGCAATAGGCTGGTCCCGAAAAAATGATATTGGCTCGGACCCAGACCCTAGCGGATCCGAATTTACTGGACCCGGACTTGGAACCAAAAATATAATGTGGGATACATACCTGGACTCGGACGGTCCAAGATTTGGACCTAGATCCGACCTGTCAGGTCAAAGTTTTAGATGCATGCCAGACCGGAATCAGGTTTACCCCTTAGGTCCAGGTCAGGTCTAGGAGGTCCATTGCCACCCCTAACCACAGAGAGAGAAGTTAGTTTTGCAGGTTCCTATTCAGATACTAAGACAAGGGACAGGTTCTTCTCTGCCCTTCGTCCTATTAGTGGAGCGTTATGCAAGGAATTTGCTGGCTACAAAAGAGCGAGTATGATGCACAATATTACTTTTCATGATGGGAAAATTATCTGTTGTGGATCCCAATTACAGGGATTACCCCATGTATTTACCTTAAAACTTATTCTCAAATGTCAGCCATGATCATGAGTTTCCAAGTTAGAACCTCTGCAAGAGATATGCGTTGAATATGATTTTTGTTTTTGGGTAAGTCATTGAATGTGATTTTAACAAATAAAAATGCCGTTTACTATAAAATAGTATATTCTACAAACGTGTTTAACTGTATCGGCTTTTCAAGATGAAGTACTAGAGTATAGACATGTGATGCATCAGTGTCCAAGTAAAACTGCTTCAAAGTCCCTAATCAGATCATAAAAAAGTGATACTCCTTGTTTTTAAGTCACCTCACCATGACTGGACTCGGGTGACTCGGATCAGGTTGGCCAGGCTTTTGCGACATGGATCTGCAATATCCCTCTCTCTCTCTCATATCAGTCCCTATCATTGAGTAAATCGCTGAAGAAATATCAGTAACTGTAAGCTATGTTCAAAGTTTTCTCAACTTACTAATTACTCGGCAACGATTTGAATTAAAAATTCACATTCTATGTACCTTTCCATAAGACATTGGTTCAATGGTTTCTAAGTAATTTAAAACCGTTATTTTAATAGCCTGGTCCACCATAAGCTTTCAATTTCTAATTTTCTATCCTTCGATATAGCGAACAGTCCCCCTTTCTTAGCTTAGCCGCCCTAGGCATGTGGTCATGCTGGGCCAGTCAATAAGCGCATATCCAATGACAACTAGCGCATCAACAAATGCTAGAAAATTTTATAAACCGTCAGATTATTATTATCACGTTTAACGAATCTCAACCATCAATACTCAAATCATAAAGAAATTCAACAAGCCATTTAATTTTCCTCGAATATCAAAGTCTTTTTCAAATTCATATATTAATTCATGATCTAAGGGAAATGTATATATTCTTTGCTAAATTAAACTCGGCTATTATTCCATCCTTGCTCTTTTGGAAGCAGAGGAATGAATTTCGAGCTCTAGAGTAGAGCCATCATCAGTTTCCATAGAAGAGAGCCCCTCCTTGTTTGTGAGGCCAAAGCATGGTGGCCGGCAAGGCTCACTATTGTCTTTGAGCTCACTAGTACTGGCTAGTGGTGAACTAGAAGAGAGAGAGAGGGTAGCGTGGATCAAGGCACGGTGTTGCTCCTCAACCATCTTTTGCAAACTCCTAGCATTCGCTTCTATCCAAAGTTGCAGCTCCCTTTGCTCCTGCACCCATTTATGGAACCATGAATGCGACATAGTCATGTTACAAATTACAGTTATTGGCTTTCCATTTACTAGGGAGATATGTAGTCAAGAATTTCTATATCGCATGTAGGATAAGATATAATTGGGAAAAGGCTATGATGAGGATGATGTAGTATAAGATAAAATATTTTTGATAGTTTATTATCATTTCATCGGACATCAACAGATAGGTCATTAAGGCGAGATAATGTGCTTAAGAGGAAATAACCAATCAATGTATCATAAATAATCAATCGAGTTAATTATGAAAGGAAGTAACACCACCCTTATGGATCATGCATTAAGACGAACCTCAAGTTGTTTGTGTAACTTCTTCTGAACTTCTAACTGCAGACGAAGATATTCGGTGTCTTGTGCACCCCTGAAAATAAATATGAATTTTTGTAAATTTTCAGATGACTCCCTCATAATTTATAATTAGACAAGATATATGAATCTGAACAAGTAGAGAAAATAGAAGGTAGAAAAATAAAATAAAAAATGATACATATATATCTTGTTCCTTATTAAGCTTCAGATTATCCTTCCCATTTAATGATATCTTTTATACTACACAAAATGTATCAACTATGAACCATGTGTGCAATCAGTTTTCAGTAAAAAAAGCACAATTATACCAGAAGAGATGGGAATTCCCAATAGATCAGTAAAATAAACTTCAAAAATTATAATAATCACAAACAATAGAATATGTATGGATTGCTCACATTTTCACATAAACATTTTCCTTGTCAGTATCAGCAGAGCTCTTCTTCTTAGTTTCTGAACCGGGTGATCTCTTGTCTGACAACATGCAAGAAAAAATATAGTTTGTAAGGAAATTCCCCTACAAGCTTAACAATTTACGCCTTCGAATAGCATAGAAAACTACAAGTATACACGTTGAATTCCCTTTTGTTCATCCATGAATGCACGTGCACTATGAACATAGATTTGGGTAGAAATGATTTTCAATCTTCTATGGAAGCATTATGGAAATATGACACAGGTGAATATTGTATTGGTAAACAAATTAAAAGACACCAATGGACTTATACGTTCCATATATATGAAGGGAAAAATTTCCATCAACTCCATCATACATGGACATGTCTACGAGGTCCACCCTCAGTTGGTAACTGCAATGAAATGGATTAAGAAAGCAGAAATTACAGATTCAAATTTCCCCTTGAAAGTGATGAAGTGTGTACAATTTAAAATTCCCAATTCAAAACCACTTGATTTCATAGTCAAGGAAAAAATAAACAAGAAAATAACTTCAATTCTAAGTTTGATTTTACCTTCTCCATTACCTGGTTGATACCTTGCGAGACGATATTTCTGCATATTTGGGGAAGTTGAATCACATCCTTACAATGTAATTAAGAATCAATGAAAAATTAAATCCAAATATCTACCTGCAAGTGGCTTTTCACATGATAGATATTAAGTCCAGCAACATTCATAATCCTCAGAATACTCTTTGGGGTTGCCACTGCAGTGAAAAGATCATGTTTAAACTAAAGACCAAGATGATTTTTTCTTCTTTCCTTTTTTTTCCTTGCCTAAAGATAAAATCCAATAATCTAATGGAATTTCTAAAGTCAAAACAAATGCTCACCATCTGGACCACCAAGAAATGTAACAGCCTTTACAAATTGTTCATGAAGCTCTTGAGTCCAGCGCATTCGGGTCTTATTCACAGTACCATTTCTAGATGTCAAGGGGCCGGTATTGAGTTGCTCACCAATAGGAAAAACAAACTGTCCATCCATGTGGTTGCCTTGAAATCCTATTGTATTACTGGATGACCCTTTAGTTGCCACAAAAAATTCCTGAGAAAATTTAACAATGAATTCACATCTAGTCATGCAGGGGAAGTGGAATCCTGAGATTACCTTTTTTAATAACTAGACACGTGTTATGCCCGTTTAAAATCAAAGAGCAAGACCAGCATTGATCTCTGGGTAAATATCAAGATTATACCTGGAACGTATTCATCACACGTGTGGTCTAGAAACTTGATATATCAAGGGAGAACCTCGACCTGTCAATTTTTTTTTTCCTTTTACTTTTCAGAATGATACCACCATCTGGTATTTTAAATACTGGAATGTGAGGTAATAAGGTAAACTAATGGTACAATAAGCTAATAAAAATTGACAGGTTGCCATAGTATTTTAAATTTCTAGACCATCCAGATGATCAATACAGGTGTTTCAGATACTGTGTCGATGTTTATCCATGATGTTTCACTTACATCCAACATAGAATCTTCACAATTGTTGGTTATAACCAACCCTGTTGGATCTGCTACAACTTGCCAATCTGCTTGTTCACTGGTCATAACACTCCCTCTGCAACTTTGACCAACCAAATTACAACCTGAAGCATCTTGGGGAGACACATTATCGTCATCATTCATTGAGTTTTCCAAGTTATTGCATTCTTTATATTGATATAGCGAGGAATCTCCATGACCAAGTAGCATGAACTTCAAGGATTGACTTGAAGAAACCGGATGATCAGATATTTGTGGATAGGGAAGAAATGGAATGTTACCAATCTGAAACTCTTTATGTGATGAATGTAAACTGGGGCAGAACATTGAGGATTGAGAACACATATTTCTCAAGTTCGGGGAAAGTGAAAATGAATAGGCACAGGTGGTTTCTCCAGCTGCAACACTAAGATCCTCTAAAGGAGTCAGGGGTTGTTCTCGAGTGTTACATAAAGAGGAGGGCGCTGAACTTTGACCATACGATGCAACTTTCGAAGTAGAGAAGGAAACCAATGGTGCTTGCAAAGACCCACATTGCTTTCCACATTTACAATATTCTTCATTCATCTCCTTCTGATTACAACCAAAAGGAGAAGCTTGGTAAGCAAATACCTTGTGATACATATTAAAATAGGAGTCAGCAGAGAACTATTAAACTTTAAATGGATAATTTTACTAAGAAGCCATTCATGTGATAATATACCTTAGCAGAAACACTGCCAGAGAAAGAGAGAGAGTTTCCTCAATGTTTCAGTTGGATACTCCACTTCAGTCCAGATAGAGAATGATAGAAGCTGCAGAATCTAAAACCAGCCAAGGATACTTAGTGTTCTGCTTCTTAGGTGTCCCACAGCCGATTATATTCTACAATTCGCTGAAATCAATATCAAATAATTACTTAGCCATTTATACTCAAATATCAACTCTCAATGTAAAGAGAAGAGAGGCAGATGTCAATTAATAACTTCAGAGATAGCAGATATAAATAAACACACTCAAGAAACCAATGGGAGTGGTAGTTGAACCTGGTTTTCTCGGCAAATGTCACATCTCAATGAAATGGTCGAAATTCAGAAACTATCTTATTTGCATAGGTTGAGTCATCTGACGTATTATCTTTTATCTCTAAATCAGTTTGAATCAAATGCATATAAGTAAAAACTCTAGTCCCTCAGAAGAATGCCTCTCAACTTCCAGATTACTATGTTGCTCAACAGAACAAAAAACCGGGCCCTGATGACAGGAACAGATTAGTAAGGTATTCTACATTAAGAAATAACCAGGAAGAAAATTACATGATAAACTAATATTGAGCAGGTATATTCTATTATATATGCCTAGGATAAATCAATTTGGATAGAGCATCAACTAACCACCACAGACATAAATCACAAAACAAATTTTCGGTAACATACCAGAACACATTATATCCAACATTGTGCTGCATGAGTGCTGAAGGAGACATGCATTGATATGCAATGATGTTCAAAAGCAGTAAATGCAAAGGCAGGAAAGAGCAGAAATATGAAGAAGATAACAGTGACTGATGGGAAGTACTTTTATTTCCTGAGTTTTATGGGGGCAAAAAACAATTTGGGTTCTGCACATATGAGGTCAATATCATCAACTAGAACAAGTCTTTATTCTAAAACAGCTGACTAGCTGAGAGAGATTCACAGGAGGAAAAATTCAATTATAAGATTTAGAGTCCGCAAGACTCTTGAGGACTTGAAATTGGAGAACTTGTAGATTTATGGTAAAAATATTATTATTCAAATTATACATTTTCTTGATTTCATTTGAATAAAATGTAAACTTTGACAGGGAAACCACTTCCATTAATCTGATTACTTGCTCGAAGTGACAAAGAAAGAAGCTCTAGAGAAAAACATCTCACAGGCTGAAGCACATGTCATACATGGAAGCCATTGCCATTGATTTGCTGCCACTGCTAACTAATAGTAAACATGATCATTAGTATTTATCGGCTTAATCAAAAAAAATTTGGCCTTCCCAAAATTGATTTCAGGGGAGGAATATTGACAGTTGGCCAATACACAAACCCCCCCCCCCCCCCCCCCCCCCCTTCCTCAAAAAAAAAAGACAAAATGAAAGGAAGTTCAATTAAGCTTCATAAAAAAGCAAAGGAAAACTGTAACAGCACAGCCCTATGGAATTTTTTTAATCAGAGAAAGAAATCCCATAGAATTATTTAAATATATTTTTCTCTAATGACATCCTTTAACGAGAAATCAAATAATTATTAAAAGACAACTGAGATAAATTTTACGTAACCGTTCTTATCATTAAAAGAAAAAAAAATTATATAACAGTTAACCCAAAGTTAAACATGCCTTTCTAGTTAAGAACTCCAATATCACCAGATGCACCTTGAAATTCTTCCTATAAACAAGAAATAACTACTAATTGAAGGGGAAATACAGATGGATCACGTAGAAATTCAAGAATTCTTACTCTATAAGAAAGAAAGTAATCACAAAATGAAGGGAAATAACACATGGGTCGCTTAGAAATCCATTGAATTATTTCTAAACAAAGGAAAATAACAGCTAAATTAAGGAAAATTACAGATCAGTCACTTCGAAATTCAAAAAGTTTAAAAGTTCTTTCATACAAAGGAGAATAATCACTAAACAATGGAAGTTACCGTTGGATCAATTAGAAATTCAAAAATTCTTTGTACACAAAAGAAAATATTTTTTGAATTAAATAAAAGGAAATTACAGATGGGCCGTTTAGAAATTCAAAAATCATTCCTAAACAAAAGAAACTAATCACGACAAGAACAAAAATTCCAAATGCGTCACTTAGAACTTCAAAGATTATTTTTATTTAAAAGAAAAAAATATACTAAAGAAAAGGAAATTATAGATGGATCAGTTAGAAATTCACACATTATTTCTAGGGAAATTTATCAATTCATACCTATAAGTTTGACGAACGGAATATTTCACTATAGGTTGTTTTGATATATTTCAAAACCATAATGTTGCGTAGTTTAATGGACTACTACGAATTTGATTAAAAACTGATAGCTTAAATGAAACGGATAATATATTAGATAGGTCGACTCTTAGATATTATACTGTTATTTGAAAATTTTCCCTTCTTTCAATACAAAAGACATTAATCACAAATGACTGGAACATACAGATCAAAAACCATTTTTATGCCAAATAAAATAATCCCTAAATGAAGGGAAATTACAAGTGGGTCACTTAGAAATTCTTATCTCGATACAATGAAACTAATCATTTCAATGAAGAAAATTAAGGATAGATCACTAATCCTTTCTACACAAAATAAAATAATCAGTAAAATGGGGGGAAACTACAGATGGATCATTAAGAAATTTAAAAAATTCTTTCTACTCAACCGACAGTAGTCAATAAATAAAGGGAAATTACAGATGGGTTCACTTAGAGATTTAAAAATTCTTCCTAAATAAAAGAAAATAATCACTAAACATAGGAAATTTTAGATTGGTCACTTAGAAATTCAATGTAAATTCTAAATATGTTATAATGTTAGACAAGGACTTGGAGGCGCATTATTTTGACAAAAAAGAAAACTAGAATTAAACAGAGGCTACTGAGAATGGAGAGGTGCCATTTAGCCTTTCATTTACAGGTTTGAAGCTTGAACGAAAGAGAACCCATACCCACTATTCTCCTTTATTTATTTTTATTCTTTTTAGAAATCACCAATTACATTAATTCAAACCATCATAATCTGATTTGATGGTCGAATTTCAAGACATTCAACATAAAAATAATAAATAAATAAAAAAGGACAAACTTTTGAAAAGAAATAAGAACAACAAAAAAAACCCAAAAATGCCATCAATTACCTGCAATTGTTTCAAGCTTTTCAACCAGGAATTATATCAGTAAAATCCATCACGAACCATGAAAATTCAAAAAAAAGAAAGAGAGAGAGAGACAGAACGGAAAGAAAGAAATGCCATAGTGTTATCTGCAATGAATTCTTCTTACAACATCCAAACAAACCCTAGAAGTTTTATCACAGAGAACCATCCCTAAAATATTACATCTCTAAAACCTTGGATATGACGAAGCGATAAAATCCAACAAAAAAAAATCAATGAATTCCAATCAATTATCTGGACACAAAGAAGATAAGGCATCGGTTTCCTCGATACTCAAAACTATATTAAGTTTCAAATTTTATGATACGTTATGATCATTATTATTATTATCATTGGAAAAGAATAAAAATGGCCGGCGATTTGAGACAAAACATAACTGGACTACGCGGCAATTCGAGCTTCCCGCCATGGCCATTATTTTATTTTAACATAAATTAAGTAAAAAACTATTAAGAAAGATTAAAAATTGAAAATTTACACAGAGGTCCATTTTAATTTCTAGAGTTTTAAAACTGGTCCTCATTATCTCACGCTTTTACAATTATGTCCCATTTTTCGAGTTTACAGTGTATTTTGATTTTGTTGTATGTTGGATGAAGCTCAAATTTGCCAACATCACATATACCTATTAAAACATAGAAAATATCTAATACTAAAAATAACCGAAGGATTCCAACTCTATTTTGGAAAAATTGTTTCTTTCTAATTGTTTTGATATACTTCCTACATATGTGTGATGAGACCCCAAATTTAAACTTAATTTGATGTAAAAGAAAATATGCTGAGATTTGATTTGGTGATCACTGTGATCAAATTAGTGTTCTAAAACCTGACAGTCTGGATTAGGTAATGCCGATCCAAACCTCGAATCGGCTGGGTCCAAAACAATTTCAAGGTATCTGTCCTAGCACGGTCCTAAGAAAAATAAATTTAACAGATGAAATGTCAAGGGAGATTTGGAGGCACTGGTCCACGATCAATACCTTCCTAGAATAGGTTTGGCTCTGGCTGATTTTCAATCTTGATTGGTTATTTCTGATTTGGATCACCATGGTTTAAACACTAGATTAAATAAACTGGTTTTTTTTCATTCAGGTGGCTTTGGTGTGACCAACTAGATAATTGTCCTTATGGATGTGGAGAGGGGGTCTAACCATTACTTATGGTCAAACCATTTTATTAAAGTGGTCACGTGTAAAAATCTTAGTTTCATTTCACTCAGGTACTTCAAGAAACTGTATAAAAAAACTTAAATATACCCTATTAGTAATTTGAATTAGTAGATGCCAGATTCTATGAGTACCATGCTTATGCAAACTTGGGAATCCAAAACATAAGTTTCGAATAAATGTAAAATAATTATTTTGTTTGGGCCCCTTAATTAAAGAGTAATATGATAATATACTTCTTTGTTCAAACTCGAATTTTTTTAATGGAAAAGTGAGTTTGGTATTGCTAACCATCGACAATCAACATAGATAGAATGAATCATCATTTCATCTCAAGCCCCTTAATTAAATAGCACTAATGAATTTGTGATAATACATTATTTATTTAAATTTAAGAACGTGAGACTAAGATTTTCAATAACAAAAAGAAGGTTCTTAATGCTTAAACATGAATAAGCAAGGGTATATGTGTTGTATGACTTGGGTCATTTAAGTGGAGTTAAACAATAAAAACAGCCATGCATGTTCATGCTTCAAAAAATTGAACAGATGCAATTGTGCCATTTTTCAAATAAATCTTTTGAGGAGGTATCTGAGTAAAATAAAAACTAAAAAGTAGTGATTTTAATGTTAAAT